AACTTATTGATGTTTGCGTTTCGGTGTCGATGGCTGTTCTCGTACTCTCTCATACTCTCTCATATGAGAGAGAGAGAGAGAGAGAGAGAGAGAGAGATTTGGATTATCAATGAATTATATGTATATACGATATAATGATAGATATTCGCCATACGATTGGTAAATAAAATAAATACTTTTTACATTAATAATAATTTTTTAACATTTAATTCACTTACGTATTGAATAAGTTGTTAAATCACTTGTGTTTTAAATGACGCTATCGTTAAACAACTCACAGATTTGTATACGTTCTCCACGAAAATATATACTATCAATAAAACCCACTTATAATAAATAAAATAACTTATGGTAAAAAATATGCGACAGTCAGAGAAAAAACACTATGATCTGCGAGGAAATGATGGTAAACTACTTTGTGGTGCAAAAACTTGTTGTATAGCAATTTCGCGTAACACAACTCCCCCTTTAAAAGTCAATGTAAATGCCAACCCATACCTCGTATACCAATCCTAGTATACAATACTATTTTCAATGCTATTTTCCAATGTGTTGTGTTTATACAGTGTTTATTTTATTATGATTTTCTGTCTCTCATATTATATAACGTAAAGTACTGTACATTCAATTCAATGGCAGTATTTTATGGCTGAAACAGGTTTTTAGGTTTTGGTATTAAGTATTTTGTGTTTTGTTTTTAATATAAAAAACTTATTGATGTTTGCGTTTCGGTGTCGATGGCTGTTCTCGTACTCTCTCATACTCTCTCATATGAGAGAGAGAGAGAGAGAGAGAGAGAGAGAGAGAGAGAGGTTTTGTTGTATAAATATTTTGCAAACACTTACAACAAATTTATTTTAATAATCATTTATTATTTTTATTGCTAGACATACATAACAGTCGATTCCGTTAATTATATACACTTGTTATACAAAAGTCAAACGTTTAATAAACAAATTCTCGATAGAATTATACAGAAAGTAGTCTGTGTTTTGAATATTGATTTTTAATGTTTTGTTTGATATTTATTTTTATCGATGTTTTAAATTCAATGCTATTTTGTGTTTCAATTGAATGATTACATGATTTCATTTATATCGATATTTCATTAAAAATTATTACATATATTTTTTGTAACGTTTTAATGATGTAATCCATAAGAATAAAAATAAATATACTTTTATAGTCTTTTTTATTGTCTTATACTGTATTAATATACTTTATATACATATAATTACCGGTAATATTAATAGTAAAATTCAGACATTATTTTTTGGTTATTATTCTAACAATAGGTATTAAAATATTTGCATTTTAAGTATAAATAATATTTAAAATAATTTAAATGAAAAATACTAATTATAAGAAACATAAGTTAAACATGATCATAGATTAAACAATTCAGTACAGAAAGTTACAAAATAAACAACCTATGCTCAATTGTTACATACTTGTATTGAAATTTTCATAATGATAAATTTATTGCATTTTATTTTTATATCACAACCTGATAATAACTATCTTTCCAAATAATAAACATCACTTTGTACTGATCCACAACATTTATTTTTATTTATAACAGTACTGAAGGTGTGTTGAAGTTAGATAACGGTAAATCACAGTTCAATACAGTACAATGCAGATTAGATTACAATACATGTGCACATTTAATGTACCAAAAATATTACAAAATTTAAACTAGAATGAACTATAAACCTGGTGAATGAATTAAATCAATAAAATTGCTATTGGTTATATAAAACATAATTGACAAATTATCATACTATTTCTATGAATATCACATGTACAATGTAGTTAAAAATGTTTGATTTGATAAATAAACTTATCAAGATTAGTGTGCTATTGTGATACGGGTTTGCCTAACATTTAGTATAGAATTTTAAATTCTTGCAATTTGTGAATGAAAACTTGTGATCAAATCTTAAATGCATTTTATATAATCAATAATTTCGATTTTATTTTGCAATTATTATATAAATAGCAGTGATATATAGAATCGATTTATAATAAAAACTTTACAAAAGTTTTTGGAAAATTTAATACTGGTTTAATAATTATTGTAAATTAAATATTATATAAAATATGGTGAATAAAAAGCTGAAAGTACTATTTGTGCCGATCTTCGGTGTCGGTCATGTGAACGCCTGTATCAGTATTGCCGAGACATTGATAGACAGCGGACACGACGTGTGGTTCACAGTCAACGGCTTTTGGTCGGGAAAACTGACCAAATATGGCGTCAAAGAGGTATTGCTCGACAAATCTGACTCACCGATGGATGCGGACAATATGGCCGATGCGGCTAAATATATGGTCACTTCGGGTAAGATTGGAGGCGAATCGGCCCTTCAGAAAGCCCGGAGTCGGGGCACTACTATTGAGTTGAAGATGAAATACGTACAGTATTTAGACGAACAGCTCGAGCGCCTGTTGCCCGCCATTCGGCCCGATGTCATAGTTGTGGATCAGTTCATGACATTGCCATCAGTGGAGTTGTCGGGCATACCGTGTGTCTGGTCCTGGAGTGCCGGACCACTCGTGATGCTCGACGATGAGAGGGCACCGCCCGCAGCATCAGGTATGTAATGCCAGGTGTAATACAAGCGCTGGAATTAATCTAAAAATTACTGCATAGGACTGTCCGCTACGGGAGACAAAAGATTATGGCAAGAGTTTCGGCAAATCAGACGCAATGGCACCGCAGACTCGTGGCGAGTGTTCAACGACTGGGTGGTCGGCCGGGGCTGCGAACCACTGCCCGAATACGCTCTCAAAAATCCCAACAATTATCTCAATATATACGGCTATCCCCTAGAGTTAGACTATCAGGACATCCGTCCGTTGGGCCGTAATTTTGTCCGCTTAGATAATCTTAAGCGCACCGAACAGTACATGACTTTTACTTTACCGCAAGAGTTGGCCGCAAAGCCGGGAAAATTAGTCTATTTTTCTCTCGGATCGATGGGTGCGGCAGATGTGATAAATATGCGCCGACTTGTGGCCATTTTGGCCAAATCTTCGCATCGGTTCATCGTATCAAAGGGTCCGTTGCATATGGACTACACTCTGGCCGACAATATGTGGGGCGAGGCGTCTGTGCCTCAGATCCGAGTCCTACCTCTTGTAGATCTGGTGCTAACACACGGCGGCAATAATACGGTCACCGAAACCATGTTCTTTGGGAAACCGATGATAGCTATGCCTCTGTTTGGCGATCAATACGATAACGCGCAGAGACTTGAGGACAAGGGCTTTGGTCTACGACTGGACGCATACAAGTGCTCAGAGGAGGAGTTGTTGGCAGCGATCGAGAGTTTGCTTAATGACAGTGCAATGACTGAACGCTTGGCCGAAGTCTCCCGAAGAATACAAACGGATAATAGTTTAGCAAAATTGCCAAAACTTATTGAGGATTTTGTTCAAAATGCGCGCAAATATATTAGTAATTAATTTGAAATGTTGGGAAACCATTAAAATTTAATAAATTACTTTAACAAAAGTTTATTCATTGTGATAATGTACTAATGTTTGAAGTAAAGCGCGTTTATGTTAAAACTAGATAATAATTAACTCTTATCACAAATTGTACAACTTCATATCATTTAAACAAAACATGATAAGTTTATGACAATATCAATAATTAAAAGTGGTGCTTAGGAATACATCTAGTCGTTTTAGTACATTTAATAAGCATAAATAATCTAGTGAACTGTAATTTCCCTTATTAAAACTTATATAGATCTTTAATTCTGTTAATCTGATATTTAAATCATTTAAATTTATACAGTATTATATTTTTTAAATATTACAGTTAAACACATAATACAATGCAACCATAAATGTAAGAAATGTTATTATGTTTACATTGTATCATGTATTGTGTATTATGTGTTCAAAGTTCAATTCAATGACTTTATATTGTCTTAAATTACCTTAACCCATTAACAGAATATTCTGTATGCAACGTAATTTATTGTCACCGCAATTATCTCAATAGAAATCGTATAAACCGGCATTCAGAAAAATCACCTTGTTTGCAACATAATTAATATTTTATTTTATATTCACGCATCATGCAATTAATTTTAGTCATTATTACAATAAAACATAATTTAATGGGTTAATAAATTAATTAATAAACTGACATTTAATTAAACTACAATAAGTTTCACAACGTTTTATATGTATGGCTCACAACAGAAAACACATTCATAAGTAACGAAGTTTACGAACAGTTGTGACAAACAAGAGGTTCAATGCATTGGAAATACAGGCAAAGGGGGCTCAAAGGGGGCACACATTAGCGGCACGTAATTGACATCCAATGAGAGACAAAGCTTTACAACAAACAGATATTCGAGTGAATTATTGACAGCAAATACCAGACGATTGATCACCACATCTGATCCCAAGACACTGAGACACAGCGAGACATCGCCACTAAACGCATCCATCTGTGTGTCCATCTGTTCCGGAGGGACTGTCACCACACAAATGATGTCATATCATCTGAAGAGAGCGCGTATTGACACCACTCAAGAGCCGGCCGTCTCTGCGGCCGATCATCACAACAACGGTTCCAACGGCTCCGCCGGCAATGTTGTCAACCATAGGGACAAACTCTTGCAACACATCCGCGAGCTATACCTTCGCGAAGACTATTCGGACGTGGAGTTCGTGTTCGGGCCGGACGTCATCCACGGTATACTCATTATCTCACCCATTGTCTTACCATCTAATGGTCTCATTGTCTTTGTATCTGATCCGCAACCGATAGCCCATAAGCTGGTGCTGTCTGTGAACAGCAAATGGCGTCAACTGCTGCGCGGCCAGAGCTCTGTGGACATGGAGGACACGCCACTCGTGGCGTTCAAAGAGGTGTTGCGCTATCTATACAACGG